GATGGCGCTTGCTTCCCTGATCTCCCGCCAAAACCGTGTGACGTCAGTGGCACCGGATTGGTCACCGACAGCAATGTGGCACCGGGAGCCAATGAAAACTTCCCATAGCGAAAGTGACGTCACGATGGAAGGGGGTCCGGCCAGCGCGCCGAGCTGGCGCCAGCAGTCAGACACGACACGTCATAGAGGTCGGACGTGCGACGGATGGTCTTGTCAGTAGGACAGTTGTACCTCGCTCCCGTGGATTTACGCGTCACCTGAAGTCCGCCAGTACTCTGAGAAGTCTTCCCTAGTTCATGTGTTGAACCAGAAGAGGGAATTGACGGTTATTTGAGCAACAAGTGCTCCAGTCAGGTACTGTGCCAGTAGCAGTGAAGCCGTGCAGTGACGTACGTGACGTCTGTGGCAATTCACCAGTTCGTGACAGCGTAGTGGCTGACAGAGCCACTGGGTAGCTGAGGAAGAGAGGACTATTTGGGGAAACCGAACGACTGTAGCTGAGACGTAGGCGACAGCCGTTGCTGGGAGAAGACGACGGCCAGGAGACCGACTCCAACCTTCAAGAAGTCAAGAAGGAGAGCAGTGAGGAGGCACGGAGACGACGCGCTAAACGGTGGGACGACGAGAGGCTCTGGTAGGACACGACGACGTGTAGTGTGGGGGCGTTCCCGACACGAGGATCAGGAGCTACATCTCGACTCTCATCGGAGGATAGGGTGAAGTAGGTGGTTCTAGTTCCCTCCCCATTCCCCTTTAGTTAGCTATGTTATTTGGCTATATTTTCTAGCCTGAGGATTTTATATGTCGTGAGCAAGTATCACCCATGTCACGGTAAAGCACCAGTGTGTTAGACAGTACTATCAAGAGTACTTGTAATATTCATGTTGATTATTGGTGTGTACAGGCACCAGGAACCAGTGATAAATTTACTGTGTTGTGTATATCTTTCTATAGATTTTGATATGAACATATAGTGGTAAATTATATATAATATTATGCCAGTATTTGGAGGTTAGGCTATGTGCCCAGAAACTATTTATTTTCCATGTATTGATGATTGATTTATATACCATATATATGTCTATGTTCATTCAGTGAATAATCATTTGTGAGTACAGTGAATTATTGCGTTATCGCCCACGAGAGAAAGTACTGAAAACTCCAGTGTTAATATTTCATAATATATGGTTGAGTGAAGAACAATGTAAAGCCATTACAGTGAATCATTATAGCATTGATTGTAGAAAAGACTGTTTGAGCCTGAGTACAGTGTAACTGAGTAATACGGTTTATTTAGCAAATATCGAGTGTGCGAGTTTCTAGTAATATTGGAAAGTTTAAAGAAACAGCGCGCGTGAATCTAGGAAACAAGCCAAGATCGCGCGGAAAGACCATTGCGATCAGCTGTTCTTGACACTTGATGAGGAGGGGGAGAGTGTTGCCCTCTAGTGATCGCATAATATCCGTGGGAATTACCGGCCGAGTCAGGATCAGTTGATTTATCGATTATTGTGTGGCCTTGTGACATCTTTCATACATTTTAAGTAAAATACAAAACTCTCTTTGTGTTTTTATCATCCCCTCCATTGATCTTGTGGCTATAATTACTGGTAAACATAGAGTGATAACAATAAGTACCTGCCTGATTCCTGATCTTTGAGTGTGACCTTGCCAAGGCTACCACTGAATACACCCGTCCACTGATGGTGTTACTGGCCACCTAAAAACACCAGTTGGCGATCTTGTGATTAACCGTAGAGCCCTATTGTTGGGGAGGGCACACGACGGTCGATGTGATCGAGTCGTGTTCTCACTCTTTCTTAATAAGAGGCCGTTAAGATTGACTGGGAGACTCTCCTGGCGTGCAGTGGCGCCGTGAGGATCGAGGGAAGACCCGCAGGGCTATGGTGAGTGACTTTAAGCATAACTATTGCTCACCCCAGACTAGAGAGAAGAGAGGTGAACCCCAACAATACACAGTACACTCTGTTACGAACTCGTCACCACCGTCTGAGTGTGGCCTGGTAATTCCAGCGCCATCTATGAGTCTCCACTCCAACCCCCCTAATATTGGACGCTATGTAGGCAATGCCATCTATTGGTCGTGGCGTGACAACAGCAAATGGCTCTTGTTTCCTGCCTTTGCCAGCCAGAGAGGTCGTTGCAGATGACCTCTGGAGAGGTGGCGCATCAAGATCAGCGCCACCTAGGTTGTGCTACGTCCATAATGTCAACTCCCCGGTCGGGAGCCGGTCGGCCGAGCGGACAGCACACTGGACTTGTGATCCTGTGGTCCTGGGTTCGATCCCTGGCGCTGGCGAGAAACAATGGGCAGAGTTTCTTTCGCCCTATGCCCCTGTTACCTAGCAGTAAATAGGTACCTGGGTGTTAATCAGCTGTCACGGGCTGCTTCCTGGGGATGGAGGCCTGGTCGAGGACCGGGCCGCGGGGACACTAAAGCCCCGAAATCATCTCAAGATAACCTCCCCAGTGAGTGTTACCTCCTGGTTTCCCCAGTGTTCTGTCCAATTAACTGATGATGTGTTATGTCCACAGAGGTGACGTCGGTAGGCAGTGGTACTGAGGACGGCAGTTTACCTTGGGCAGCCTACGTTCTCTCGTCTTAGTCCTGGAAGATGACTAAGTAAGCCACCGCCGATCTGAAGCAGTGTGTAGACTGCTGATTACGTAGTATTGGAAGAGATCGGCGTACCCCGGGACTGGCTTAGGAGAGGAACGAACGACACTGAGGTTCCTGTTGTGAAACTCTGCTAGCCAGTCGCCAGGTGTTCACTACCCCTGTATTGATTGTTTTGTGACCCCGATCAGCGTGTGGCTGAAGTCTTCTGTCAGCGAGTGGCAAGAGAGTGGTCGTGGGATATAGGCATCTCGTGATACTGTGTCGGTGGGCTGGCCCGCGTACAAGGTGAGACTCGCCAGTGTGTCCTAGTATGGTTGGATAAGGTACTGGGTGAGAGAAACGCTGGGGTTGGCGAACACTGTATGTGAGCGCCCGGTGTCCTCAGTGAAAGAGATACCGATGTACATAAGTGTAATAATAATCTATTTATTGTATTGAAGGGTTTAAGTGTAAATATATTGATGAAGGGAATAGTGTTTTGCTCATCCCCCCCCCTTATTTATTCATTGCACTATATAGCAAAGTCTTGAAAGTGTACTACAGACTTGGGGTCGGATACGACAAACAAGGTTCATCCATCAAGAACCCGATTACTGGTCCATATTGACTGTAACCCACCTGCTCTACTGGGAGTAGACTGTGGTATACACAGTACACCAGCACTACTGGGAGTAGACTGTGGTATACACAGTACACCAGCACTACTGGGAGTAGACTGTGGTATACACAGTACACCAGCACTACTGGGAGTAGACTGTGGTATACACAGTACACCAGCACTACTGGGAGTAGACTGGTATACACAGTACACCAGCACTACTGGGAGTAGACTGGTATACACAGTACACCAGCACTACTGGGAGTAGACTGTGGTATACACAGTACACCAGCACTACTGGGAGTAGACTGTGGTATACACAGTACACCAGCACTACTGGGAGTAGACTGTGGTATACACAGTACACCAGCACTACTGGGAGTAGACTGGTATACACAGTACACCAGCACTACTGGGAGTAGACTGTGGTATACACAGTACACCAGCACTACTGGGAGTAGACTGTGGTATACACAGTACACCAGCACTACTGGGAGTAGACTGTGGTATACACAGTACACCAGCACTACTAGGAGTAGACTGGTGTACACAGTTCACCCGCACTACTGGGAGAAGACTGTGGTATACACATATCCTCCAAAGGATACCTGATCAACCAGGTTGTGACTCATACGTCAGGCTGCGAGCAGCCGCGTCTAACAGCCTGGTTGATCAGTCCTGCAACCAGGAGGCCTGATCGACGACCGGGCCGCGGGGACACTAAGCCCCGGAAGCACCTCAAGGTAACCTCAAGGTAAGGCACACAGTACACCAGCACTACTGGGAGTAGACTGGTATACACAGTACACCAGCACTACTAGGAGTAGACTGTGGTATACACAGTACACCAGCACTACTGGGAGTAGACTGTGGTATACACAGTACACCAGCACTACTAGGAGTAGACTGTGGTATACACAGTACACCAGCACTACTGGGAGTAGACTGTGGTATACACAGTACACCAGCACTACTAGGAGTAGACTGTGGTATACACAGTACACCAGCACTACTGGGAGTAGACTGTGGTATACACAGTACACCAGCACTACTAGGAGTAGACTGTGGTATACACAGTACACCAGCACTACTTGGAGTAGACTGTGGTATACACAGTACACCAGCACTACTGGGCGTAGACTGGTATACACAGTACACCAGCACTACTGGGAAGAGACTAGTCTACACAGTACACATGGTGTTGAGATTTCTGACAACGATGGTGACAAACTGTGTGTGTGTGTGTGTGTGTGTGTGTGTGTGTGGAGAAGATCTGTGACAATTATGGTGATTGGTGCCTATTTAGTGCTAGGTACCAGGGGTATCAGGGTGAAAGAAACTCTGACAATTTTTTTTCTGGCATTTCTGAGGATCTACCCTAGGATTACGATTCCAGAGCGCTGTCCACTCAGCGATCAGACCCCACCACACTATTGTATACCGTATAAGGTAAACACCAGGTACCACACCACTGTATATCATATATGTAAATGGGTGTCAGCACAGTCACACCTTCCCCTTCACAAAAAACCTACGGAATACTCTACTACGGTTTGTGTGATCTGAAATTAACATGAATAAAGTAGTTCCAGCTGTTTGTTATTCTTAAGTGAGTGATATAGATATTAACAATGACGCAGTTTGCACTTCTTCCTTTTTAATTAACCTTTCGTGGGTACAGGTGCTGCATCCCATTAATTACTCGTCCCCTCACCACCTCGTCCCTGCAGGTGTTGCATCGCAAGTAGCTCGTTCCCTCACCATCTCGTCCTCACAGATGCCTCTCAGCGTCCAGGTGTTGCCAACGGCGGCATGGCAAGCGGAGCAGCTATTCTTGTTGCAGTCAGTGTCGAGGAGGCCCGTGGCTCTGACGTGCAGGCAGTTCTGGGAGCGGCCGCCGTCAGGGTTAAACTCTTTGAAGGCCAGTGAGCTCTGTAGGAGAGAGAGGAGGGGAGGAGGAGAGGTTAAGCGCCGGAGTGTGGATGGCATGATGGGTAGGGCAGGAAGAGAAGCAAGGAAAGAGACGAGGAGAAGGCAGAAAGGGAGTGAGAGATGGCACAAAGAGAGGACATGTGGAATAGGGGGGAAGAATAGGATGCAAGGAAGCGGGAAATTGGTAAATTAAGCTCAGCAATATTGACATTAACTAAATCCAACAGGAGCCTTGATGAGTACTCGAACCTATGCGATGGGTTTTCACAGGTGCGCTTTAGTTGTCTGCACCATGATATGGTAAAACCATTGCAACCTGGAGTACTACTGCACCTACAAGGATACCAAGGCTTCCACTGAAGCCTAACCTGGGTTTCACACAATTTCTCTATGCACTCGGGCTCTGTCAACCAGTAAGTCTACCTCTGATACCCCTTCATCATTACACAGATAAATATTTTACCATGTCGTGGTGCAGTTGACTAGAGCGTGCCTAGGAACACCCAGCACATGTGGAACCCTGGTTAGGTTTCAGTGGAAGCCTCATGATCATTAAGGGTGCAGTAGTACTCTAGGTTGCAGTTCTTTTACCATGTCGTGGAGCAGTCGACTAGAGCACGCCTGGAAACACTCGGGAAAAAAAGGTACGAACCCTTATCATGGCTCCTGTTGGGTTTGTTCATTGATATATCACATTAATGTGATTTCTCTGTTTAATATTGACAAAAATAAAATATCACAGGATTACTATATAAATATCTTTTGGGGTAAATGGTCTGGGGCTTGGCACAAACATAGGTTGGTCAGGATCATCAGAGCTCAAAAGGGTGCAAAAAATTATCTATATAAATAAAAATGGAAATGTTCATTTGTTCAAAATAGCTAATCTCTGAAAGTTCTTCACCAATTGCCTTGAAATTTTTACACAACGTTTCATTCACATCCGAGCAGGTTTTTATATGCATACTATGTAGATGTCACGTCTGTGATGGGAAAAAACATGTTTTTTTTTTTTAAAGCTGTGTTTTTCGTGTGTTTTTCAAGTGAGGAAAATCTTTGAAACCTCTTTACCAATTGCTTTGAAATCTTGATACAACATTGCATTCGAATAGGTGAGTGTTTTTATATACCTACTATATACATGACTCACTTGTGAAAGGAAAAAACATGCTTTTTAAGAAAAACAGCGCCATCTGTAGTACGTATGAGCAACACACGCTGTAATCTCCAAAAGTTCTTCACCGATTGCTTTGAAATTTTGACACGACGTTCTTTACGAATACGTGTGTGTTTTGATATGCCTACTATTTAGATGCCACAACTGTGACCAGTAAAAACATGCATGTTTTGAAAAACAGCGCCATTTGTTGCACGTAAGAGCAACATACGATACAAAATATGTTACGATTCAATTTCAATGTTTCCGATTGCAATATATTGAATTTTCATGGATATAGCTAATTTGTTTCTTTTTCATTGTTTTTCATGCCATTTTTTTAAGTGTTCTTCTTATTTTTCAGTGCAATTTGTGGTGAAATTGAGCTGTGTCGATTGATTGGCGTTTGAATTTAAATATTTTGATAGTATTTTTTGTTTTTGTTTAGAAAACGAGAAAATTTATAACATGTTTATTTAACAGCTACAAATAATAATAATAAATAATAAATTTTTATTCTGGTAAGGTACATACATACAAAGTAAGATACAAAAGTTGATTGATATATAGATAGAGCTAGTACATACAATGCCTAAAGCCACTATTACGCAAAGCATTTCGGGCAGGGAAAACACTAAGACTAAAACTTAATACTAATTGAGATTAAAGCATAAATTGTGATGAGAAAAAATAAGAAAAGAATGGAAAAAGAGGGGGGGGAGACATGGCAGAAAAAAACAAAAATACAATTTGGTCAACAAAACAGCATTGTTTAAAATAGAAGACATGGGTTGACATTTTGGGGGTGAGGTAGGTTACATTGAGTTAATTAGGTAGTACTTGCAACGTTGTGTCAAAATTTCAAAGCAATCGGTGAAGAACTTTTGAAGATTACAGCGTATGTTGCCCCTTACGTCCAACAAATGGCACATTAAAAAAAAACATGTTTTTTTTCCTGTCACAGGTGAGGCATGTATATAGTAGATATTTAAAAAGACTCGCCTATTCGAATACAACGTTATGTCAAAATTTCAAAGCAATCGGTAAAGAGGTTTCGAAGATTTCCCTCACATGAAAAACACAGTTTTTCAGAAAAACTTGTTCTTCTACCGTCACAGACTTAACATATATATAGTATGTATATGAAAACTTGGCCGAATGCGAATGGAACGTTGAGTGAAAATTTCAAAGCAATCGGTTAAGAACTTTCGGAGATTAGCAGTAATGCACAAACGAAATTTCCATTTTTATTTATATAGATTTTTCAATTTATTTAGTAGATAATATTCTAGAGTAATTATTATAGTCAGATTTCATACATAAAATTACTCTGCTCATTTAAAATTGTCTATATTTACGAATAATCAATTGGATTTGTATTTGTGTATTAAATTTTATGTTCAATAGAAGTATTTTATTTGGTATAGGAGTGCTGTAAGGTAAACACTTCACATTAGGTTCGTCCTTTGAACTACACGAACTGGACGAGATTTTGATGGTACTTCGAACTGCACAAACAGGACTACAACTGACTGATCCTTCTAACTTCACAAATATGTCCAACTTTTTTGGTCCTGCAAATGCACAAAAAGCAGTTATCCAAATAAATTATGAATACTTTAAAATACACGTCTTGTGAGAAAATAAATCATATTCCACCAGATTTTTACATTTCAAACTAGCGTAATCTGATATAATATTTACATTATAGTAATAAATAAATTCTAGTAAAACTGTTAGAACCAGCAGTTATAGACTGCACAAGAGAAAGTCAATCTAAATACTCATTATTTACAATTGAATGCCAGACCTTTTCGGGAGAGTCTGAGGTCAGATGGAGTTCATCTGTCGGAAGAATCCCAAAGATATGTAAAACTTACACTAATCAATATCTTTCATCATTATAAATTTAGCATAGGCCACTAATCATTTAGGTAAATGATTGTTTGTGAAGCACTATAAAATTTACCCATTAATTATTCTGTTTAATTGTAAATTATATTTACAGTTACAATAACCAAAAATAACACTTTTGTTATTAAACTTACATAGTAATATTTTCATATAATTATTCACTGTCAAACAGTCAATTATTTGTACTCAGGGGTATACCAATTATTTCTTTAACTTTCATTTTGATTACTCGATGCACTTTGCAAACTAAGACACGTTGCATACAAACTTAAATTAATTCTAAATATTAAGCTTTTGATTGTCACAAAGGTCAGTTAATCCAGTCTGAGCGTATTAGATGAACGAACTCAGAATCGCATCCAATTAGCTCACTGGATACATTATCAGAATACATAAACAATTACATTTGTTCTTGAATTATATACTAAGTTGAGTGTTCACCCAACAATCATGGCAAATAAAAATCAAGCCCTAAATGATCCCTCACAGCCTTTAAATGCCAACTAATGAGAAAAATTGATCAGTGTGAGAACATATCTAACCCAAACACCAGTAGATTGTGTGAAGTTAGATTAACACATTAAAGCTGCTATCAACAAATGAATAAATTAAGAGACTCACAGAAAACTGTGCAGGAAATATATAGTGCCAACTTAAAAGCTAATGATCATAGCAGTATCGTGATTGGGATAGCAAAATATGAGGATTCCATTAAAACAAATCTGGATCCTCTCATTGCAATGGTGTCACAATTGATGACAAAGAAATAATATGTCGAGCGCTGCAGCAGCCTCAGCAATCAACCATCAATCAGAAAGACGACTCCCAACAATTAATTTACCAACATTTTCAGGATTAGATGAGGAAAATCGGGCCACATTTTGAAGAACATTTGATGCCTTAGTAAATTCAAAAACTTCTAGCCCTAAATCCACCAAGTTTGCCTGTTTATGAAGCCAGTTAAGGGGTGAAGCTAAAACAGTGGTTTCCAATTTAGAATTAACTGAAGATGGCTATGACTTTGCCATTCAACTCCTTAAAGACAATTATTCTGATAATGAGGTGACTATTACACACTTGGTCCACAAGCTATAACACTTAACACCTCCAAGTAAAACAGCTGATTCACTCTAAAATTTTTAATTAGAAATGAAGTGCTCAGCCAAAGCTCTCAGCACAAAGGTTAATACAACTGATGTTAATGCATTTTAATAGTAAGTGTTCTAAGAGAAGTTACATAGTGACATTTGAGACAACTTGTGCTCACACTATCATAAGAGCATCTTATTCCTACAAGAATTATGTAAAGGGTTAAATACAGTTGACTGTCGCCTACGAACCCATAGTACACTTAAACCTCAACAAAATAGTTCAGAACAAGTTCACTTGAACAAAAATAATGGAATAAAAAATATCAACTTTAAACTTAAGCAACCAATTGCCACTCCTAAGTGGGTTGGTACTTATTCAGTGTCTCCTTCGAAGCCTGTTTTCACAGTTTCATCAAAGACAGTGAAACCACATCAGACTGGCATAAGTCTTTATTCTGTCAAGAAAAGCATACTAATTTATCAATGCTTGACATACCCTAATCATACTAGGTGACTTAAATGGCTGAAAGAACCGCAAAGATGCACGAAGTGCTTAACAGATGCTCAGCCTGCTCTGTAAAGGTTTGGAGGGCTTCCTTCTTCTTGTTTAGTTGATGCCGAATGAGCTCTTGCCTATACCTATAGGTAAACTCTGTATTGCGGACTGCTGGGTCATGTGGGTTTATATTGGTGTATACTGGCAGCAGGTTTTCTTTCAAACATGTTTCATTGAATATGACCGCATATTCTGTGTTTATTATTTTCTGGTTTAGGGCTTCTATCCCTCTAACTATTTTCTTAGCATCAGGGCTTAATTGAAATAGGAGTTCTCCAAAACTCATTTTCGTACTTTTGAGGTGAAGAAAAGAAGAGCCTTTAAGCATATGAATAGTGGGCTTTATATATTTTTCTGTCTTTTAAAGATGTTACAGAGACTTAATAAACATATTAAAGTGCTTAAAAGCACATAGAGTCAATGTGACACCCCATTGCGGGCATGTGCAAGATGCAACAAGAGTCAGCATCACACAGCACTGTGTGGAGGCACCAACAATAAGTCTCTTACACCAAAACCAGAGAAAAACAAAACGTTCACCACAGTTCAATACTGCAAAGAAGATCAGGATATCTATGTCATAGTTACCAAGTCTAGTACGACAGCGACTCTACACACTGCACAACTAGCTTTAATCAACAACAGGACCAAGTACCATACCCGAGGGTTGTTTGATCATGGTTCCCAGAAGACGTTTGTGACGAAACAGGTAACAAATCTTCAGCTCAAACCTATAGCAAAGGTTAACTTAAAGATCTCAGGTTTCCTGACTAATTCAGGGCCAATCAAACCTCTTTTATGGTTTGACTGGTCTCATAATTATTTCCGACCAGTGCAAGCCATCATGGTGAATACAATTCTCCCTCTGAACTGTATGTGAATGGTCTTGGAGCTCCTGACACATTCCTCAAGCCATAAAGTATTAAACTGTCACATTCACAAATAAAATCGGATGTAAGTATCAGATTCACATTTCGGAAATAAGCATCATTAAGATGGACAGTATTACCATAAATACAACAGTTATCAAATATGTATGCGGGGGAAGAACCTGCTACACACTGCAGGAGCTAAATTACTCACTAGACCAGTATCACATCTTAAGAAGTCTATTCCTGTGAAAGAAAAATATGCAAGTGCAGAGATGGTTGCGTGACTAGGCCCAGAAGAGTCACCCCCTAGAACTCAGTCTAGAAGATGAGTCCCACTTACGGGGGTATCAAGAAGGTTCCATTATATAGCAGGATCACAGGGTTTGTCCCACGGTCATAATCAATCTTCCAGGGAAAGAAAACCGATGTGCTGAACGCCCCCACACCCCAGCAGAGATAGAATTATGTCAGATATTTAAGGCAATTTTCAATTATGGCACTACCACCCAGCGGGTAGCTCAACGAGGGCAGGCATAGGAGCTAGAGTGACCTCAGAGGAGACATGCCAGTAACCACAGGACAGTCTGGCTGCACCCATGGTACTAACGTGGGTCACAAACAAATATATCCATTTGAACCTAATCAGAATTAACCATCTGTTCCTCACTGAGCCTTTCCTTTTACATCTGTTCACCCGATCTCATGCGTTACACTCTACCGTCATATAAAAGGAAATTTGGAATATATGAGTCACCATGTAATGCAGGAACAAGTGTATCATGAAGCCACAAGGCACAGTTTGGTCTGATGAGTCTCCTCCGACCGCATTAAAAGTTTGTACCAAGCCTCCTGCAACATCAAGGCACTGGCCATAGGGGAGTGCTTGCTGCTACGTCAAGGCACTGGTCATAGGGGAGTGCTTGCTGCTACGTCAAGGCACTGGTCATAGGGGAGTGCTTGCTGCTACGTCAAGGCACTAGTCATAGGGGAGTGCTTGGTGCTACGTCAAGGCACTGGTCATAGGGGAGTGCTTGCTGCTACGTCAAGGCACTGGTCATAGGGGAGTGCTTGCTGCTACGTCAAGGCACTGGTCATAGAGGAGTGCTTGCTGCCACGTCAAGGCACTGGTCATAGGGGAGTGCTTGCTGCTACGTCAAGGCACTGGTCATAGGGGAGTGCTTGCTGCTACGTCAAGGCACTGGTCATAGGGGAGTGCTTGCTGCTACGTCAAGGCACTGGTCATAGGGGAGTGCTTGCTGCTACGTCAAGGCACTGGTCATAGGGATGGGAGGAGGTGAGGATAGTAAGACAGTGTCACAAGTGCCTGTGAGTAGATGAACCATTAATTTACAATTAACATGAAGAAAGTGATTTATAATTACCGAGTTGAGGCTGGTCTTGGTAAATGGGTTATACCAAGAGCCTTCCTGGGCCTCGTCGTTAGCACCACCCCACTGACGTTCACAACCTGCGTCCACACTCCTTGATGGTTAATGTGTTCCCAGTGTGTGAAGGCTCATAATGGGTCAAGGGTTATTTGTAGGTAATGAGTACATCAGCGAGGATGGACAGCCCTCATTACTTAAGGGGGTTTGTACATGACAGGGAATTATTAATGGTCATAAGTGGATAGGGAGTCATCAATAAGACCTCATTCCCATTAATTAAGAGCATCAATATGATCTTTTGCTAAATCACCTATGGTTATAAGGTCATCAATGGTTAAGATTGATCTTCAATAAATATGAGCATAAGTGAATAAGACTGGGTCATCAATAGATAATGTCATCAATTGATAAGATATTAATAGATACGTAAAGATCATCAGTGAATAAGATTATCAATGTATAAGAAAATATCATCTATGGATAAAATAAGGAATTATTATCAATGAATAAAATAAGATCATCAGTGAACTAGAAAATAATGAATAAGAAAATATTAATATTTTCAAAGTTTAGCGAATAAGAAAAGTTTAGAGAAAATAAAAGATCAATAGATAAAATAAGATCAATAGCAAATAAGATAAGATCATCAATTAATAAGAAAAGTTCATCAATGGATAAAATCATCAGTGATATAATAAGATCATCAATGCATTAGAAAAGATAATAAGTGAATTAATTAATATCGCCAATTGCTCTGATAATATCAATAAATAGGCTCGGCTAAAATTATCAATGAATAAGATAAGATCACAGCATCAATGGGCATGAGGGCACCATCAATGAAAGGGGTGGGATCATCAAAGGGAAAGGAGATTGGTAATAGGTTAGGAGACTTTCTACGTGCAAGTTGATCAATGCTCAAGGGGATCATCAAGGGGTAAGGGGATAATTAATCACTTGGTAAGGTGGTATGATCAGTTGGTAATATTAGCATCTGGGAGGGTCATCACTGGCTTTGATGATCAATAATAAATGATCATCAATATGTAAAGTGATCAATAATAGGTAAGGTGATTGTCAATATGTAAGGTGATCAGTAAAAGGTAAGTGATCATCAATATGTAAGATATTGCACTACCCCACCGAACAGTAATAGGTAAGGTGATCATCAATTGCGGTGAAGGTCTTGGTAATTGTGGTGAGAAGTGGTCTGTATAAGAGTTTGAAATTGTTGATACCACAAAACATTGGGAGGTTAGTTAATTTATATTTTATTCAATTAGAATTTAGGGTATCCAGTTAGTTGTTGAACCGTTCTTTAAATTCATTTAATTTCAATGTCAAAGTTTTACATTTACTGTTTTGTCCTCAGTTCAAAGCTCATATGCCCTGCACCAACGGCTCATATGCCCTGCACCAACGGCTCATATGCCCTGCACCAACGGCTCATATGCCCTGCACCAACGGCTCATATGCCCTGCACCAACGGCTCATATGCCCTGCACCAACATGTATGGCACACCACACTACATGTAACACAACCAGTTAACTGACAACGGCAACACTGATAAAGGCATCTAGACCAGAACTTACTCCAGTGTCCTGCTTATTTCAGGTCATGAGTAATAACTTGAAAACACAGATTCATGTTAGGGTCTTTTAAAATGGAGAGTCTTAGCTGGCAAGAAACATGGGCGTGTCTCAAACTTGGGTTGGTGCCAATATGGCCGCCCTGGTGCTCTCTCTTGATAGGTCAACTTATGTTGTCTCACTTCTTCCTGCTGGCAAATTTTGTGCTAAAGTAACAATAACAACATATGATTATATCATAATTATTTGAAATTTGACATGAACATTAATTCAATTCGCTTGTTGATTATTATATTAAATCCTCGTAACCGTACCCAATAACCCTCTATACTACGTAGATATAACTTATTTAGCCTTACAACACAATGCAAATGGTACCTAGGGTTTCACTTAGGTTCGATGAAGCGTGTTAATGGTGGACCGTGGACAATAAATGCTAATTAATATTAATTAACATTTATTAATGTTAATTAATACAAAATGGTGGACAACGACCATTTTAAAGTCTTGTGGAATGTTTAATGGGTTGTTTGTAGGTAAGGAGTGTAAGTGTTCTCATAAGACAGACTAATACTATTATTTAGTAATTATTGGAAGAATCAACATTTTTTTATTGGGAATTAAAAATGGTCAATGCTTTCTCCAACTAGAAATTATCGAACTAATCGTTTTATTTTAAGAGATAATTTTAAACTATTATTAAAGTAATGTTAGCTGTTGATTTGACTGGCATGGTATAGAGCTATGAGCGATTACATGTCACTGCACATAGGCTTTACTGAACAGTTATGTTATGATCTTTTTTATTTATTTATTTGTGAAAAAGAATTTCATTCTCATAAAGGATTTACAATTCAGTATTTTATATTTAAGGATTATTAATCACTTATTAATGTGGAGGATATTTTCCACATCAGTGTCTAAAGTGAACAACCATGGCTAAAGTGATTATCATTGGCTTAAGTGATCATTATTCTCTAAGATAATCATCAAAGGCTAAGGTGATTATTAACGGGTAACGGATGATTATTTACGGGTAAGGGGGGTAAGGGGAAGGGTCCACAACATCGACAGACATATCACCCCACAGTCAGCATCCGGACGATCACAGTAACCAGAATCAGCAAGCCTGAGTAACTTCACAAGACATCCATGACCACTACGACCCGATGAGGGGGTTCTAACAACGACAATGCGCCACAAACGCCTATAAGTCAGGACTCGCCCCATGGACGGCCGTGCTTTTATCAAAAGCGACGTCTTGAAGATTCTAATAGAAGGCCCCGGCATTAAACCAGTCGACCTTGGTCAAGAAAGGGAGAATATTGTGCTCAATTTCTCGTGTGTGGAGGATCTCGAAAAACTCCAGGATTTCGATCGCACACTTTGCAAAGTGCACCACCAGTCTCCTCTCTTCCCACGTCAGTACACTGCCGACCGAACAGTCTTTATCAGCGAGAACAACCGATGGATTGCGGATGGAGAACAAACGAAGATCATTACCAAAATCGAGGAAGAGAACCCAAACCTGCGGGTACTCGATATTTTTCTGCAGCAACGATGCCGACGACGACAAGTGCCACATAATGAAAATATACTTCACCACCTTAGCCGCGGCTAACCAGGTTGCGATACATGGTCTCCACTGCTTCCATATACAGATTCAACACTTCCAAGTGAAAAAGGAACGATTCCACAACCTCCAAGAGTGGTTCCGGTGCTACGATTACTCCCACCCCACCAACAAGTGTCAGCACCCCGTCCAGAAGTGCCGCCTTTGCGGCCAGAACCATCATTACTCCTTCTGCAAGTCAAAAACCCATTGCTGCCTGCTCTGCAGCAGAGATCACCCTGTAATTTTCCTCCGCTACCCATCACAGACAGGAAATTATTACGATCCAGGCTGAATCCAATAAAGCCAAACCATCTACTTCCAATGGCACCAAACCAAGCACCTCTGCTTCCACCAACCTACTAGAAGACTTCCCAGTCCTATTAAACAGTAACTCCTTCCAACAGGCCAACTGACCTCCACACATGTAACCTAAACACCAACCAGCACCCTCACAGTTCGTTACATCACATGCAGGCATTATCCCTGATCTTATTTGACTAGCAGATAAGCTTGCAGGACCCGACAAAAAAAGATTCGTCAAGAAACTTAACACGCTGTACCTTGCTAACGGCCTGGACCCCCAAGTCTCACTGCTTCCACTTCCACTCCGGAACCACCCAAGCCTCCAGAACCACCAAAGACACAGACAGCACAAACAGAGGTATTTCCCACTCCATCTCCCAACACTCCTGCCATCACCATCTCAGCAGACACGCTAGCAGATGAACTGTCTACAAATACTAACAGCACCACCAACGCTCCTGAAATAGCACTAATCCACGACACCTGAGCCTGCCTCAGGCTGCGAGACCAAAGACAAAACCACCAACTATGGATGTTATGGACTTATCAGACGGGGAAATCTTAGCAGGATCTACAGCGCCGTGTCACATATACGACACCTACTCGGTACAAGACCTCATCGAGGCCACCTCACCAAACTCCAAAGACAGCACGGCCATGTCAACTTGCAGCAAGTTTCAAGCAAATAAAAAACGGAAGACCTGGACGTCTACACTAACCCTCTAGCTCCATAACCGGCACAGCCAGCCCTCTGAGGCTGAAATCCACCATCAAGAACCCCATCAACCTACAAATCTACAAAGCTATTGGTACTGGTAATGGCTCGAAAAAGCCTCCACTTACGGGCTATTTATGCCCGTGCCACCAATAGGGTGGCATAATATTTATCAATCAATCAATCAGGTATGGGGATAACCAATGAGAAAAGTGATCATCATTCCATAACATAATTTTCAGTATCAAGGATTATCAGTGGGCAATCTACAATATGTAAGAATGTGGTCATCATTGGATGTGACAATAATATATCGGAAGGGCATCATTTCCAAATAGCTAAAGTGATCATTAATAGCTAAAGTGATCATTAATAGCTAAGGTGGTCACCAATAGGTAAGGTGGTGAGAAAGCCAGTAGGAGCTATAGGGAGGATATTGACTGGGTACTCCCATGCACACTCCTTAAACCACTTAACCCCAATATACTCAACGAAATGTAACCTGGGATGCGGCTGAATCCTTTAGGTTTCTGAGGCAACCACTGACACCAAATCAGGGTTTCACAAATTTCCCATATACACACTTGGTTGTATTGGAGTTTTTTCAAATGCACTGAACCAACAAACTCACAGCGTTTTTATAACATTTTTAATTCATTGTAGGAAAGTAACATTATATTTATAGAGTAGTCTTAATAACGTTTAAAATGCCTTAATTTCAGTCACATGTGGTTATGTGTGTGAGTGTCTGTACTCACCTTGTGCTTGTGGGGGTTGAGCTTTGGCTCTTTGGTCCCGCCTCTCAACTGTCAATCAACTGGTGCACAGAATCCTGAGCACATTGCGCTCTATCATAT